CATGTTGTGATGGTGTCCCGGTCATGTTTTGATGGTGTCCCGGTCATGTGATGGTGTCCCGGTCATGTTGTGATGGTGTCCCGGTCATGTTTTGATGGTGTCCCGATCATGTGATGGTGGCGCGGTCATGTTGTGATGGTGTCCCGATCATGTTTTGATTGTGTCCCAGTCATGTTGTGATGGTGTCCCGGTCCTGTTTTGATGGTGTCCCGGTGTCCCGGTCATGTTTTGATGGTGTCCCGGTCATGTTGTGAAAGTGTCCCGGTCATGTTTTGATGGTGTCCCGGTCGTGTTATGACGGTGTCCTGGTCATGTTTTGGCGGTGTGCCGGTTATGTTTTGATGGTGTCCGGGTCATGTGACGGTGTCCCGGTCATGTTGTGATAGTGTCCCGGTCATGTTGTGATGGTGTCCCCGTCATGTCATGCTGGTGTCCCGGTCACCTTGTGATGGTGTCCCGGTTATGTTGTGATGGTGTCCCAATCATGTTGTGACGGTGTCTCGGTCATGTTTTGATGGTGCCCTGGTCATGTTTTGATGGTGTCCCCGTCATGTCATGCTGGTGTCCCGGTCACCTTGTGATGGTGTCCCGGTTATGTTGTGATGGTGTCCCAATCATGTTGTGACGGTGTCTCGGTCATGTTTTGATGGTGCCCTGGTCATGTTGTGATGGTGTCCCCGTCATGTCATGCTGGTGTCCCGGTTACCTTGTGATGGTGTCCCGGTTATGTTGTGATGGTGTCCCGATCATGTTGTGACGGTGTCTCGGTCATGTTTTGATGGTGCCCTGGTCATGTTGTGATGGTGTCCCCGTCATGTCACGCTGGTGTCCCGGTCACCTTGTGATGGTGTCCCGGTTATGTTGTGATGGTGTCCCAATCATGTTGTGACGGTGTCTCGGTCATGTTTTGTTGGTGCCCTGGTCATTTTGTGATGGTGTCCCGGTTATGTGATGATGGTGTCCAAGGAAGAGTTGGTCGATGTGTTGAAAACAGCAGCTGTTTCCAGATTTTTCTTTTTGTCCCGGTTTGTATCTTGCTATTGGGGTCTCCAGCTGGGCTAATTCCATGGCTTCCTTGATGTGATGGCCCTGCTTTCTTTCGTTCGATTGGCAGGACCAAGCGATCGCAATGACAATATATGCTTTACTCATTGTCCTGTCAAGCATGCTATATGCTACAGTATAGTATGTATACCGGTGTATCTATAATTGTTGGCTGCTGATGAACTGAATAGTTTGCGACCACATGTAACCAATGTTTGTATTCAATTTCATCCGAGCAGAATGATATATATACTACTCATAAAAAGAAAGTCATGGCTTGAAAGCATCGGTTTGCAGATCCAATGCATTTCTTGATTTTGTTTGAGCCGGGCTTGAGGTATGAGAACATGAGCATTGAGGGGAACATGAAGAAGGCTGCTATGTGAGGCATTCCGCCGGGCTGCTTTTTGCTTTGCGTCGGCACCCCAAAGTACTCGGGGCGGATGCAGTTGCAGGAGATTTGAGAGTGACTAGGTGCGGAATTGCGATGTCCTGCGGGGCATGAATCAATTTGGGTTGAAACTGGAGCACTTAGCGGGTTAATTCATGTCACCCAGATATTACAACTGTACACAGATCTTTCGCAGGTTTTTGGCATTTCAACGGACCACCTGCACACCCAAAGACTCAAAAGCATCATGTTTTTTTGGCAAAGCCCCAGGGTGAAATGGACAGCGAAGGATGGTGACGCTGGATGCCTCTGTTCAGGCTTCATTCAAACATCCTGATGGGGAGGTAGGTAGCCCAATGACGTCCAACATTTCCCCAATTGGGGATCTGACCAAGAAGGGTGATGCTCAAAATGCGGAGATGTTAGCAGACAAGGACTGCAGAATGGTTGCAGCTTTGACTGGCCAAAAGTCATCCGCACCAGTCACTCGAAGGGTCAGGGTGCCGTGCATTTGCGAGCTTCGGGATGTGGGCCGAATCGGCTTTCCGGCCTGCCACCAGAAATGCTTCGACCAACTGCTTACAATCATAGCCCAGTCTTCCAGGTGTGAACTGCATCTTTTCTAATTAACTATTGAAAGGATTCAATTACCGTATCGGTGTCTATTGCTGTTTTCGCTGCATCCGACGGTCACCGAGGGACATCCCGAGGTCGGTCACACTCCAACTCCGACACGCGGCGCTGCGGCGCTCGGCCCGAGCGAAGCGCGGCCCGAGCGCAGCGCAGCGGACGATGCCGCGAGGGGCGCAGGGTTTTCTCCGAAGAAAATGCGCGGAGTCTTGTGCTGGGAGAGTGAGGATGATGTGGGTTGAAGGTTGTTCTTTCTTTGTTTTTTACAGCTTTAAAGGATTTTTGGACCCATCCTCATGTGTCTAGCAAGAATCTACTCTTTGCACAGGGACCCGCGACACATTGTAGACAGAAATCTGTGCGTCGCAGCCAACAGATATAGCTTAGCCACATAGGAGCCATATTCGATGTATCTTGATGACTTTTTTGTGTCATTCTTTGCCTGAGGTTCCCAGTCCCAAGCCTTCCTGGTCCGCACCAGCAAAATAAGTGGGTTAAGACGGACAACCACTCGGATGTTGGTGTTTGAAACCGTGGTGTGCTGCCTCTTCCTTGAGCGCCAAAGACAGGCCTAACCCGCCTTTTTTCAGCACCGGAGACCTACCCCGCCCGCGCTCGCGCTCGCCCGTTCTTCAGCAGGTCGTTTCGAGGACTATGTGAGGTCCATGGAGACGGACGGCACTTGGGGTGACCACGTGACGCTTCAGGCGTCTCCGGCGATGATCGATCCGGGGGAACGTCTCGGGCGGGGGCGGGGGCGGTTCGCGACATGGCTCGGGTTTCGGCTCGACTCGGGCGGGTGGTGACCACGGTCTGGTTTCCTTTTCGTTTTTGATCAAAGACGACCGAAAGGAAAAAGCTGAGCGAAAGCTTGCCGGCGGATGCAGCAATCCTGGCCTGGGTAGTCGCTGAGAGGGATCTTTGGGAAGTCAGAGAACTCACTCATGACATTGTTGAATTTCCAGCATGTCTCACATGTCTTCATTGCACCCCAACCTCTGTGGCTCTGTGGGTCAACCTCTGTGTTTTTCAGTGGGCCGACGGGCCGACAGGGTGCCCGAAGGTGAAACCCAAATCCCAAAGAAGAGAATAGAAAAAGGACTCTAAGAAACCTAAGAGCGATGGCCTCCAACCTACTAGAGATGGCCTCCAACCACTAGAGATGGCCTTGACTCTACTAGCGATGGCCGACAAAACCCAACTTGACACGCATTTGGAGGGTCTCCAAGCCCCAACACGGGCACGTCAGGCCGCAGCTGATGCACTGGGTCTGAGGTCGGGCTCTGTTGCGGTGCGCGCTGTGCGGCTAAAAACTCCGTCTCCATCTATCACTGGAGTTTGAGTATGTTCAGACCATCAATCCAAGGGCTTAAGGAGCCCTCCTTGCAATTAAGGTGAATCTGCACCCTGAAGTTCTTTGCTCATATCCCAGAGTTCTTTTATTACAGGGGTTCAGCAAAAAACAAATAGCCTTTGGAATTTGAGCCCGAATTTCTTGGGTCAAGGATTGTGAGCAGGTACTCCGATAAACTTCGTGCCTTGAACTCTCGGTTGCCGCACTCCCAAAGCTTCAGCACCGCTTGGCAGGATCCATGTCATCAGCGATTACATGAAGGTGCGAAAGCCGCAGTTTCCTTTTCGATGGATTTGTGCACCAAAGGCTTCAAACGGTACTGCAAAAGCTGGGTGGTGGGTGATTCAACACCACCAGCCATGTAGGTGTGTATTCTAATGGGAAGACCTCCATCCAATGGGTTTTGGTCTTTCCTTCTTCTAGAGGGTCGAACTGATAGGTCTCCCTATTGAAACACACGCGCCCATGCATTGGACGTTTGTGAGTTGTATTGTTTCCTGGAGAAGCTGGTCGGACCTGAAGCTCCTGCCACGGCTGTAAACCCTTCCAGGAGGCGTACATTGAAGTGCTCCCCCACGAAGTCAAGAGCAGCAAGGCGTCCCCTGTGCTCACTGCTGCGTGGTGGACAAGAAACTTTGCGTGAATGTGAGTCCACCCTGCAATGACACACACATGTCATTAGAAAGTCATTGGATCGGTGAGCAATGTGAGCGTGTGCCCCTGTACATCACAGAGGACAAATCAGTGGGTCAATCCAACCGATTCACAGTGGCCGTGGTTCTGTAAACATGTTGCAACAAGATTATTTGTCGGGCAGGTCCTGAACTTGTGCTTCTGGGCGGAGGCAAGGCTTGTGTTTCAAGGATGGTGCGTGTGTGTTGCTTGTTTTTGTCGGGGATGGGTCAATGACGGGCAGGGACCCAGTAATCACAGATGAGTAAAATCTCAGGTCGCATGTCCTGTTCAAACACACCGACAAAAAGCGTGCTGATTAGGGTTGAGGTACGCCAACCGCTGGCGAGAAAATCGTTATAAAAGGTCATAAAGACCTTCTGACACTAACCGGCCAAGGAGCGTTATCGTTCTGTGCCGTGGTGTTGCCAGGCCCACTACAACTCGCTTGAAGAATGCCGCCGCTAAGCGCGCGCGTTTGGACTAAAAACGAGTGATCAAGTCAGGGGTGAGATGGTGGAGATGGAGAGAGCGCCGGTGGGGGGGAAGGGGATGGGGCCAGTCTCCTTGTTTTGCAATGAGTTTTTTTGTACTTTTTTATCCACAGGATGCTGTTCCTCTTTTGGAGGGATGCTCTTCATGGAGTTTGCTTTTGCGTCACATGCGAAAAACGCCCACGAAAGAAGAGGGGCGTTCAACATCTGACTAGGCGCAAAGGTTGGAATGAGCAATGCACACGATGTTCTGCTTTTCGAGAGATAATCTGCCTCATTTCCAAAGGCACTGTAGCCAAGCCGGTTTGATGCAGGTGCCAAAACCAAGAACAGAACTGCTTCGCCAAACCGGTGAACCGAACCGATCGGAAGTCAGCCGATATCGCCTCGTCCCTTGGAAGGGCGGCACAGCCAGGTGCAGATGGACGAAGACGAGCGTTCCCGTGGATATGGCTTCGTGCACTTTGCTGAGAAGGAGAGACCGCTCACTCAGCTCGCCAACCGCCAGCGTCTTTGCTCGAAGCCAGCGGTAAAAAGCTGAGGAGAATTGCATGGTTTTCACCCAAAGAGGTAGGTGAACATTGAAAACCATCAGCAGGCTGCATCGTCTTTCATTGCATTCTGATGAGCTAGACGCTGTTTGACAGGAGCATGCGTTGAAAGCCAGAGCCCTAGAGAGCTCCTAGTCCTCGGCTCAGCGGTGGGTCACCAAGAGCAGCATTTGACCCTGGTGGTTTGACCATGTCTGGTGGTTTGTTCTCTTCATTTTCGATGGTCCACCAGGGCCACAGCCAGCTTATGAAAGTGATGTTCATGAGTCCACTGCAGTGGCGAGAAGGTTTCTGAGACTGAGCCAGCGATACAGATCAGGAGCAAAGAACTGTTTGTATATGACTGTTTAGTGACCATTGATAATTGGATCAACAATCGGTTCCTTTGCAAGGTGTGTGCCACACCTTCTCCAATGAACATCTCAAACATGAGGGCGGCCCTTTGGTGGTTGCCCATTGGTTTGTGGCAACACGATGACTTGTGGATGTTTAAGGTTCCATCAAGATCTTGTCGCATCATTGGGCAAAACAAGACCACTTGAGGGCGCGATTTCAATTGAGATGTTGAGATGCAAGAGATGTAGGAAGTCCTGCCTCATCTCCAGGATTTCAATGGGCAGAAGTCCTGTGGTCCTGAACATCTGACCGAAAAAAAAGACGAGATCGAGAGCCTTCTTCTCTTCCACCGCTAGGCCACCGAGTTGCTCAATGGCATGCAGATCGGCAAGAGCAATATTCAGGCCTCTCAGCGAAACATGGTTGGAGGTCATCGCCATTAGGTTGGACGCCATCGCTATTAGGTGGGAGGCCATCGCAATTAGAAACAAAGAACATGGAAAAGGCAACTATTCCTAATAGCTTCTTGTTCCTAGTACGGCCTGGAGCCCCTAGTAGCTTCCTTGCTACTAGTAGCGATGCCAGGAGCCCCTAGTAGCGAACATTGCTCCTAGTAGCGATGCCAGGAGCCCCTAAGGCCTCTCAGCGGCGAAACATGGAACCCACGGTCCACGGCCGTGGAGTGATCCGTGTGAACATCACTCACGGCGGGTGTTTCCCAGGAGACCAGGGAGGGTCTTCTGCTTCAAGAGACCAGCGGTTTCTTGGGAGCGAAAAAATGTTTGGCAGTACAAAGGGTCAAGGTATGTCAAGAATTTGGAGGGCCAGGATTCAACGACGGGCTCGTTTGAGGGTTGGAAGCCAAGGATCGCTGAGAAGATTGGTCCCTCATGTTGAGCCCAACAACTGGGGGATGGGTCACAATGACAACCAGGATAGCGACTGGGCACGACCTCCCTGGAAGGTCGAGCTGGCTACATAGTGGACCAAACCTCCAGGTTTTTGACCCATCTCCACTTCTTGTGTCCACTTCTGAGACGATGATGACGAAGGACGAGCATGATGCTGATGGTAGGTCAGTAGGTCATTGCCATATCCATCCAGGTGCGGGTGCCATGTCCGGTGCCGACGGACCTCCGGTCGACCTCGACAGGTTCGACCTTCGCGGCCCCAAGACCTCGAGGCCTTCACCGGATGTCCGGACGCCCGGACCGGGTCGACCTCGGGGCCACGAAGCGCCGCGCAACGCGTCGCTTGGGAAGTGCGGCTTTTTCAACTGGAAAGACCTGATATATACTCTGACTGGTGCTTAGATACATGGAGGCGAAACTTCCCTCATTCTCTACGAGTCGCACCAGTCAGTTACAAGATGTTATATATGTGTTTGAAACAGTTTGTTTGACTCCATGTGTTTCTTGACATGTCCTTCTTTGCACTGAAGGGATTCTACCTTAAAGTGTTTTCTACCTAGAGTTATAGACTGGACTGGCTGGACAGGTGGGGGTTTAAATCGTTTGGAGCCGGTGGAGGCCTTGGATGAGCCAGGGGACCCTTATCGAGGTGCATTTCACCCAGCGTAGCACAAGGCCAGGTTTAGGGAAAGCACTCTCTCTTCCCCTGTTTGTCCACTGATGCCGTGTTTAGACTTATACTTAAAGCATCTTAAAGGCATCAAGCAACAGATAGATGACCACGATGTTTAGAACCACACTGTGCATTTTTGGTTGTGCGTTGCTGCCCAACGTGCCGGTGTGGAAGCCAGACAGACCTTGGTTTTGTTTGCCACCACACCTCAAGGATCTCCAGTTGGGGGTCAAACCAGGGCTGCAGTTGGTGCCAGGTCACCAACGCGCGTGTCGAGGACCATCGGGTCGCCGTCCACTGACTGGTCGGTCTTCTCGGTTTGCACCGAAAACCGAGGTCTCTACTCTTTGGCCACGACGGTGAGTGCCGTGTGCCCACCGTCGGGATTCTCAGGGTGACACGGAAAACGCCGGAGAGGGCCCAGCTCGGCCCAGTTTGCTGACGACCAGCAGGCTGGACAGCAAGACTAGGCACCGAGCCTTCCTCCAGGAAGGGCTAGTCATTAGGGCCATCCCTGAAACATGTGGACGAAAATGGGATGGTGATCGAAAAGCAGGATGACCAAGCTGGGAGCTTCCTTCTCCTGCAGTTTTGTGAAAGCAACAGGCCGTATTGTTCAGGCCTTGCTCCTTCAGGTAATTTTACTGCGCAGAAGGTGACGGTCGAGCTACCACTCTCTACACCAGGGTGCAGGTAGCACAAACTCCCAGAGGACCTTGAACGAAGCCGGGACCTGGAACAGTAGTTCTGTCCTCGCTCCGTTTGCCAGGGGATTTGAGCCCTTTTCAAAAAGAAGAACTGGCTCAACTTCTCCTCATCGGTTCTACTTGGATAGAGCATTGAAACTTGGCTCCACTCCATCCTGTCCAAGGCCTACCGAGTGGATGCCCATGGCGCATGAAGGCTATGGCGGCCACGATGGCTATGGCGGCCATGAGGGCCTGGGTGGAGGCCATGAGTTCAAAGATGTGTCTCAAAAAGCCCAGCAAATGCTCCCCGCAAAGGTAAGGGGTCAGGGGGCTTGATTGATGGGGGAAGTACCAATATGTATCAACTCCAATCATGGCATAAACATGCATATATATCACAAAACACCTACCGAGGTGTCCGACCCTGCGGACCAGGCGGCCTTTTTCCTGCGATGCCTCGAGTCGCGAAATGGCCTTCGGACGAACGGAAGTGCACGACAGCCCTATGAGTGACTGGTGGCAGACATGGCCAATTGACACTGCTTATATTCTTTTTTTTAAATCTTCTAAAAAGGGTGCTCTAGGCGGGCTTAGATGCAAAACGGGCACTTCACTTTGCCGTCTTGTACTGACGGCGGACATCAGATCCCGGAATGATTGGACCATCCAAGAACTGGGAACTCGAGCTCTTGCCATTCATGAAAAGCAAATATTGAGACATGTCGCGCATGGTGCCGGTCAACGAGAAGGCACGTGCGCAACACCACTGCTTATACTGCACAACGGATGGATCCGAGTTGGACCACAATTCTTCATATGACATGTGGGCTCCTTTGAAGCGGCCGGCGGTGATGAGGGTTTTCCCCCACACTTCAACACTGGACACTCCCGGAGGCAAACTCAAGGTCTTGCCTTCACTTCGGACACTCTCAAAGGCTTCGCGAGACAGATCAGGATCATCCATTGAGCTCATAGGGCCATCCGCGGCTAACTTCCATGGTGGTGACATGCCGGGTGGCATCGAATAGCCAGAAGGGGCTTTCTTGTCAGCACGCTTGAGAACTGGCTCGCCGGGGTTGGACTCTTCACGGCGCTTGGAACCATCAGTCATGGCGCCCCAACCACGGTTGACTTCACCTTGCACAAGGGTGAAATCACCATCTTCGGCTCCGACATTGGGTTCGTTCGCCTTGGCCAACAGATGTTGGAGTTGGCGACTCTCAGCTTCATTCAACGGCATGGCCCCATGGCCCTCAGTCACAGCGGGTCACAAGATCACGAAACACACACTTGAGCTTCGAAGAACAGCTACGTGCGATACATTAATTAACGTCAAAAACATGCAGAACCGATGTGCACAATCACTTGAGAACAGAGTTTCCCTTCGGCACTTGAGTGACTAGTTCTATAAAAACGAGCACAGCCCAAAACAGCAAATAAACTCAACTTGGAGAAACAACGAATGTCGCAAGTACCGATACTCTAACAAGTATTGTATCCTTACATCTAACTTAATTATCTGTTGGGACCGGGTTATCCTGGTCCTTGGACTGGCGCAGTTGCTGACGTCTTCGTCTTTCCTCGGCTTGTTGCTCTAGGATCAGATTTTCTGGAGAAACCTGGTAACATGCTGCACGGACGCATGATCTCAGCAGATCGGCAGGGTCAGCTTTATCTTTTGTCAAAGCATCTGCCAACATTCTATCAGTAGGGAGCCATCGGATGATACCTTCGATGCTGGTTCTACGATCCTCAATTGCCGTGGGTGCTGATGGACTAATCAGGTGATCATACAGGGACTTACAGTCTGTCATTGTCATGAGGATTGGGGCCCGACCCATGATCTGTCTACTTTCCAGTGGTTGAAAGGGGCCAGCTAGCAACAAACACATCCATTCCACTGTACCCGAAGCTGCAGACATGGCTTGGGCTTCTCCTCCGAGCGTCGAGCTGACCGCCCTGCTGAGCTTGTAGCTCTTCCACACAGCCGGAGACCGCGAGGAGACTTGTCCCTCGTTGAGGTTTTGATCGCGAAAAAGCTATCACATACCCGGCTTGGGTGTGAGCACCAACATTTGCAAAAGCCGCGTCGGAATCACAGCACAAAGTCAGATTACTTGGAGGAACAGGGGCAATAGTAGATGCGCAAGTCTTTGTTGTTTGGCACGGCGGATAGCGTTGTTAGCATCTCTCAGATGGCGAATGGTCGGTTTTGGGAAACACTGCTGACTTAGACTTGTCTGTACTGCGAGATCAGGTCGGGATCGAGAAGAAAGCCAATTGAGGCTACCATTGATTCCCCGCAACAACCTGACCTGGCTCTCTGTCAACAGAGCTTGATTTTCAGCTCCTTTTGGGATGGATGCACTACGCATGGACTCGGCAAACTGCTGTTGAGACATTGAGATACCCTTGGTGTCGGGATCCTGTCGGTAGTACGCACCACAGAACTCACCTTCCCCCATACGCCACTTCCGGTAAGGGAAACGAGCCTTCAGTTTCTGAACAGCCGAATCGATCGAACAGGGGACCTGAACCACCCACTGCAGTGTCGTCGACATGCACTCCCATGACGCCACACAAGGAACCATTCTTGGGATCTCGGAGAGTGTAAAGGCACGAGTTAAATTTAGACTTGATCCAACCTGCCTGTTGAGCTTCAGAATCGAAAGTGCGATACCAGGCGCTTGGGGCATCGTTCTGGCCGTAAACATTTCCAATCACTTCTATGACGGCATCAGCTGGCACTCCGGGGATTCCACCCTTGGGCATGGATGCGAACAGAGGCCTGAATTTCTGAGGAAGTTCACCTGCCTCCATGAAGGCACCTTTTATGTCTCCGAGCTGGAGGACCCAACCATACGACGCTAACACTTGCATGATCAGCATGCGACTCATCTGAGACAAGGTTGGAGATTGAAGCAATCCGGTTGAAGCTTTCTCATCGAGATCCGGATCCAAATGGCCCTGAAGACACCAACGACTCTTCACACGGTAGGTCGAGGGATTGAGGGGATCGATGGCGATTCCCTCTTCAGCAGCCTTTCTAATGATCACGAACCGGGATCCAATAAACCTATCCGGAAAGCGACGTTTCAACTCTTGAGCCTTTTTCCCAAAATGAATCTTGATGGCGGTTTTTCTCTTCAAGAGTTCCCCATTCAGCTACCTTGGATTCATCAACCAATGCTTGAAGTTCTGGTGGATTTCCATGAGGAGGGAGTTCCTTACTGAGCTTCTTTTGGATGTGGGCAGCAATGAGAGTTTCAATGCCATCGTTCCAAGCTTCGGTGATTTCCTCAACTGACAGCACTTCCGAATCCACATTACGTGCACGCTGAGCCGGTGGTTCGTCAATGTGTGTCACATCGTCTTCACGATCACGCTTGGCTCCGGCGCCAGATGAAGCAGAACTACTCGATGTTCCACGCTCACTTGAAATGGCATTCTCGATGAGAGATGGCGCAAGGTCTTTCATCAACTCTGAGAAATCGTCCGCTTGCATAGCTGGTGGCCGAAACAGAGAAGACGATTGAGACTTAGTGGGTACTCTACGTCGCACTGGACCATACGATGATTCTTCTTCCGGGACATATGGTAGGGACTTGGGATTCACATACGGCTCAACTGCACGATCTTTGGTCTGAGATTCTGGCTCATGTTCCTTGACATCATGCGATTTCGTGGAATGCATGTCTACATTGACTCCCGGAGAAGAGGTCTCGAGGGGACCAGCATCTTGGCTCGGCTCAGCCGACTCATGCGCTTGAGACGCCACAGGACGCCCTGACGGGTCTGGCAACTCGACTCCAGAAGGAGGATACTCCGAAGGCACTAGATCTATATACTGTTTGCTTTTGAAGGTTCCAACCTCAATCAAGTCCTTGATACCTAGCAGTTCAGCTTCAGGGGATTCAATCATGGTACGCTCTTCGGTGGTTGCCGGCCGGAGTTGTTCAGGGGCACACCTAAAAATCTGTTTCCGGTGGGCCACAATCACATTTCTGCCTACCATGCTGATGACGACTGCAGTTCCATGCCATCTACCCCCTTGTTGAACAGTACCTTGGATGACCTTCTGTTGACGCCAGTAGGCGACCAGTTCACCTGCCTTGAATTCCATGATCACTCTAGGGCGACCGGACATGGCGGCGGGAACTGCTTTGTCATCCTGGAGTGCTCCGGGAAGGCTTGGATTCTTGCCAAACACATGTTGGAATGGTGTAAAGCCATACGATTGAATGGACTGATTTTTCACATGTGCATGGTGAACACACTCTAGCCGTTCTTCTTTGTTTGAGGGAGAATGTTCATCAATCATCTTTTGCAGAATCCTACCAAACCAACCCCCATGATTTTCAGTGCGGCCTAATTGCCAGTGCGCTTCCGCAGCAATGATTTTGCAGTGGGTTCCCATGGACTCTAGATACGATTGGAAGGCCTCTCCTAACATGGTTTGTGCAGGATCGACGATCACGGCTTCGGGAGGTCCGGCCCAACGAACCCAAGCTTCGGCAAAGATCTTACCAAGCAACATTGAGGTCTCTTGCTCAAAGAAGGGAACAATCTGTTGAAAGCATGAACCCTGATCAACCATATTAACAGATTTGATCTTTTGGTTAGGCAACCAACCCGGAAGGTACTTCACATCAACCCCTACTATAACTGGTTGAACTGAGTGATACGTCCCGACTGTGCTGGAAGTGGCACATGCCACCACAGGTCAGAAGGACTTATAGCTCATCTACCACAACCGGTCTCATAGGCTATAGCTTCTGCAAAGTGAGTGGATCGTGTTGGCACCATAAACAAACAGCACGGCTTCCAACATGGATTGACGTGCCGTGATCAGCCCCATGTGAGAGATATTTGAGCATTTCCATGTTCTGTATGGCATGTCTTGCGCTGTACAGATCTTAAGGTGGGGCTTACTCGAAGTTTTTCTGATACTCCGCGGTTGTGGCTAGCAGGGCCAGGTGAGGATAACTCGAAGTAATATGTTTTATTTTGTTTTCTGATTCGATGCAACCTCGATGGGCTTGCATGCATGCTGTTGATGCAACCACGCCGGCCGCTCGCCGGATGCCGCAGTCCTTACGGATAGTGACGGTGTTCCTTTTTAAAGGGGTAAAGTGGACACTTTCAGTTCGATAGTTCCACTCCGCAACCGGCCAACCCATGGAGAAACTCAGTTTCATAGTTGCGAAACATTCCCACCTGTGGCCAGCCCATGGACAAGCTCAGTTTCATTAGTTGCGAAAC